TAGTTAAGTAAGTAAGTACGTACGGACGTACTACGTAACGTTACGTAACGTTACGTACCGTACGTCCTCTACTACTTAGTTAGTAGTACTAGAGCAGTTGCTGTCCATTTGAAACTTAGATTTATTAGCAATTTTCAAGTTAGCGCGGTTTTGAAATAGAAAATAGGACTCTCCAACGCAGCTGCGCACGCACGAGGTGCGCCATATACTCAGTTTATCTCATGGTACCCTCGTGGTAGGATCGTTCTATGCAGCGGTATGCTCTTATTTTCAAGTTTATTCAGTGTTTTTTTACCTCTTTAGTGTTTGGGTATCTAATTAATACCGCAAAACACGTTTAAAACTTTCTATATTCAGAAAATTTTCGGTCAGGAACGCATTCCTTTTATTACATGTACTCCTAATGCTATGGAAAATTGATTTTCATATGATATAGTGCGTTTTCGTTTAGTAGTAGTATTACTCAGTAGTAATACGGCGTTTTTAAGGAACGATTTAACCGCGCTAAACGAGGGATGCTGGTATTTTGTATTTTAAATAATAAAATTGAAGAAAAATTAAGAACTATCATTTTATCAGTTTCATGTAGTTTGTGCGTAAATAAGGAAGCTAAGTTACGGTTCTCCAAAAACTATTTTCTAGTCAATAGTGAATAGGAATACGTTATTGTTGTCGTTGGTGGTAAACAGACCGGTGTGACCTGAATTAGTGAATATTAAATTGTGATAATAATAAATTTAGAAACTACTATTAGTAACTTGTTATTCACGCAGTAAAAAACAGTATATTAGAAAACTATCAAACACCTAAGTTAACAAACTATGTCTTAGGCTGTATTTAACTGTCACTGGTCTAATCTAACACTGTAACAGTTAATTATAATATTTTGGCACTTGTGTATAAAGTTAAAATCATAAATAATGCTTAACGTTAAACTGGTACACAATGAAAAACATAGGCCTAAATAAAATGTTTTTAATTGTGTACCAGTTTAACGTTGAATATTATTTATGATTTTAACTGTAACAGTAACTTGAGTAAGTTACTTAGTTGGTCAACGATAAGTTTAGTGACTTACAATGCTAGAAGCTGGGGTTTAGTTCCTCGTGGTGGGAAGAGCGCAGATAGCTTGTTATGTAGCTATGCACCAAAAGAAGTTAACAAAATCCAACAATTATAATTCATACATATATGTATTGCCATCCTTCATAAATAATTGTAAAACTGGATGTTGTACTTGTAGGCCTTTTTAGTTTCAGAATAATCCACATGGCATTTTACAGTGTACATTGTGTGTTGTGGAAAACTAATGTTTTGCAGTTATTATTACATGTTAAATGTATTGTGATTTCAGTGGACAACGGCATGAAAAAATTTAAATATACCAAAGAAAATTCATAAGTAAACACAATACCTGAATATTCAAAGTAAAGGTAAATGAAATTTAATGGTATGAATAACAATAGTACTAAGCTTGTTTCTTGAATATTCAGTACTGTACTATAAAAACTAGAGAGCAAGATCTTTAACATTAGAACATGCACCTATACTTGGTTATGTGACAAATTTCCTGAGATTTACCATTTAATAATTTCAGACTTTTTTTTTATGAAAATGTATTACATATAATTTGTTGATCAATGAATTATAATAATAATAATAAACTTATTATGCATAAATTGTTTGAATTTCTTGTAATATGAAACTTTTAATAGTTGCACCTGAGAAAATATATTTATAAATGATTGCAGTAATTCTTGATGATGAAATAAAACTTTCTGTAATTAAGGGTGACTTGTCTTTCATATCTTTTTTTTTATTATCTGCAAGTCTGGACAATTTGGTTTTAATTTTAGAGGAAAGAATTGATGGAGAGACAGAATACTATCAAATCTTGAAATTTCACTAGTAATAATGTTGACTGACAGTTGCTTAATTAGTTCTGTGTAACAAAGCTAGTACTCTGTTATCTTTTTAGTAGTGTTGTTAATTCCCCTCAAGAATTCTTTTACTATAACATAACATATGAAAACTGTCCTTGCACATCATATCTCATTAAAAGTATTTTTTTTATTCAGTCACATTATTGAGTTGGTTCCCATTTATATTAAAGATGTGTGATTCAAATTACAATATCCCCAATGATTACTTTTCATTTATAATAAAGGTCACTTCCCAATTAGTTGTCCAACTTACCAAGTGACTTGTGTTGTTCTGTAATATCTCAACCTTAATACAGTTTGATACCATCAACAAACTTTACTAGTTATGCCTCTATTGATATCATTAATGTAAATAAGAAAGAGCTAAGACCCAAACACTGAACCTAGAGGTACTGCACTAGTAACACAGGTCCACTTTGACTGGATTCCATTAATGATAACCTTTTACTTTCTCTTTTAAAACCACCCTATAGTGCAATTAACTAGTTTTTTCCCAACTACAACCAATGTGGTGTGTTTTGAAAATCTTGGAGATCTAAGGACAGGAAGCTTACTGACATGTTTTTTCTTTGGGTGTTGCTTCATTTTATCCCACATTTGTGCCCCATTCAGAATGGTTGGAAATTCTCTAGTTATGGCTTCTTGAATGGATATTTTTTAGTACACAGACTATAATATAATGTGAAGAATGAACTCAAAGTTTCAATACCAATGGACAGAAGTGCATATCTTGTGAATAACTTGTGCATTGAAGGTTAATGTATTATAACTATTTTTACAAGACATCTGATGATAGTATGTTAAACATGAATTGCAAGTAAACAGTGCAAGTAAAATAATAAATTCAATTTTTAATGGTAATAAATCTTTTAATTATTTTACTTGATCAAAGTCTGCAGCTAATTGTATTCAGAATAGTCTTAAAGTTTCTGCTTAGTTACATTTGCTTGACAGAAAATATAAAGGTCATGATTGATAATTTTGTAAGTTGGAATTTAACAAAAAAAAATATACATATAAGTACCAGGTGTATAAAAAAGTAACTTTGTCCATTTAGAAGACTGTGCTTAGGAAACAGATGACCACAGTGTTATGAAACTGTGTGCAATCCAAATTCACTGTGCAGAAATTGACAGGTATCGGTATTCTTACATATCAGGAAACATAAAATAAAGTGTAACGATTGCCCAGCCTTTTACATAGGTGAAACAGACGTAACTTAAACATCAGGTTAAAAGAATACCAAAAAAACACTTTCCAAGTCCATAAACATATGAACAAAAATAACTGCCCCCCAGTGGTACAGCGGTATGTCTGCGGACTTACAACGCTAGAATCCGGGTTTCGATACCCGTGGTGGGCAGAGCACAGATAGCCCTTGTGTAGCTTTGTGCATAATTAAAAAACAAACAAAAATAACCACAGTTTCTTTAACAGAATATTACCAAACTGAAATCTGAACTTGACATTAATAGAAGAAAAATTAGAGAAGTCTTTTTAATAAAATCAACAATCCCACAATTAAAAAATACCCAAGTACATCTTTATATGTCTTTGATCATTGTTTCCCCAAGCATTTGTAATCTTTTGCCAGTTATTCACACAATATTTTCATATTTATTCACGTTTTGTTTGTTTTTCTGTTCAGCCATAAATAAATAATCTGCCAGTTCATGCAGGTTGACTTGCACATCCATAAATAACTACTATAAATTCTAAAATTTAAATACATTGTTAGATTGTTGAATATTGATTTAAGTACTAAAATCTTTTTTAACAATTAAAACTTGTGTACATGAAATTGATCACACTGAAACATTATACCTGTTTTTAAGCTTTTCTTCCTTACTGTAAAAGTTGTAACTTTTAATCAAATAATTCTAACATAATGTTTGTATTATTTTTACAAACAAAATAACATTGTTGAAATTTAGTGTTTTTTCTATTCACCTTTAACTTTCACATTTTGAAAAAAAGGTTCTATCCCAGTTGACCTATGCAAAAACATGAGCATCTCAATCTGTTTGTAGTGTTGTTATGAATTCCATTTGGGTTCTAGGAATCAGGACCCACTCCAAATGTACTAGAAATGTGGGGTCTTGGTCAGACATTTACTCCTATTTTAGGATTAAACTGTCCTAGTACACTTTGATAATTTCACAAAGGTATTATATATGAATTTCTATGTTTCCAGATGCTAGATATAATTTTTTAGGTATTGTATCACATTGTTATTTATCATTCTTGCTACATTTCAGGATTTATGAATCTTGTTATGTATCAGTTATTTGGTCTGTACAAAATTGCTCTTATAGAATGTTCTCTATATCCTTTCATATTCTAGTGGTTGTTTAGATTGTTTAATAATTGATTTCTTTGCCAGTTACTTTTTCTTAGGTCACCATTTTCAGAATTTCAAGTTATGGAATCAGATTCTCTTATTCAATAATTGTCATTATTGTTTATTTTTTGTATGCTTACTGTTGTTACATCTTCTGTCCCTAATACCTTATTACACACAAATTAGTTATAATGTTGTGCGTTGTTGATAACATCCATTCCCTACTTATCAACCCAACATTCTTTTTATTTTCACTTTAACAAATTACTACTTGAAGGTCTCAGACCTGTCAGTTTCTTCTACATCTTCATTGTCAAAATTGGATGTCGCCTGTTTCTTTGACCATCTCCCAGTGGTTTCTTTCCTTATTCCACTATCTTTGTCCATCAATCAAGTTGTATAGCTTATCAATGTTAATAATGGTATATGATATACATCAACAATATATTTATTATACTTCCAGTTTCAAAATGTTTTACTAGGTTGCATTTAGACAAACAATTCTCTTCATCATCCTGTATATTTTCTTTTTCTTCTACAGTTCACTTGAAGCAGATGCATCCTTCCATTCAAAATGCCTACTTCCTTTTTATTTTATCTCTTTCACCTTTTTTTTTCTGAGAATGTTTATTGACTAATGCATTACCTCTGGACTTGTAAGCTCCATTCTTGTCTCTTGAGAATTTGCAACACATGCAAAACAATTAAATAAAAAGAAGTATGGCTAAAGATTTAGAGACATTATGTGTCCAAAAATAGTACTGTTTTGATTCTGTTTCACTATAAGATGTATATCGTAATACCCATAACACTACTTTTACTCATTTGATGTTTTTTCCTTATTAAGTTATTTCTGTTCTTAACTTTGCCACTTTAAAGACAGAAATGGAATCTTTTGATTATTATGATTCTGAGGGAGAGGATCTCGAAGGAATAGACACAGTGGATGGTGGAAATTTTCCTGGAACACTGTGTGTGATAGTCTTTCAGCAAAAGGCCAATGAGTACACTGTAAACTGGCTCACAGACTTGATTCAACAACCTAGGAGAGCAGGTGGAGCTGGACTTTTGGTGAAAAAACAGGTAGTATGTTTATACATTTTTAATGATTAAGATATAATGCTGTTGACTACAAGTATATTATACTACTATGTGGTATTTCTTTCATATTTACCAGCTATGTCTAAGCTGCTTGATGATTAGTCATACCAGTTTGTAAATCAGATAATAATTTACAAGGTTTAGCCTTTTTATTTCTAATAAACAGTACTAATTTGTTTTGTACTGTAAAAGTATCATTTCTTATTAGTGTGAAACTCATTATTGTTTATTATTAAGATACTTTTAAAAATTATATTTCCACAAAAACTTGATCAAATAGTGGATGTTAAGTAAATTTTTTCTTATGGTGATGTCAATGACGGACTTCCTTGATTTTCTGTAAGTCGTGGATCTCAGCAAGTTTAATTTTGGAAGGGCTGACATTCAAATATAGAATGTAGACAGAAGGGTCAAAATCATAAATGATATTAAGAATTTAAAATTTTTCTTTCATGAATATACGTATGAAGACAGTGGTCTTCCATATGTTCAGTATGTTAATTATTTCCAAAAGTTTTTTCTTATATATCCTTTACTTTCAATATAAAAGCCCAAAATATTAGTTCTTGAAGATAAGTTTTAATTTTTCAAAGTAACATTTAACACATTTATTTTCTATATAAATTCTTTAACTACTGTAACATTTTTTTTTAAATATCCTATTTAGTTGACTTAGAATTTTATCAAGATATATTGGTCTGTACTATACTATCAATTCAAGTCATTCAGGTTGTACATGGAGTGTTTAATTTTTAAAAGCAGGAAGATGTACATAAAATGTAATAAAAGTCAAATGTGAAATATTTGAACAAAGGAACTAAAATATATAAGATCAATCAACTGGAAGCTTGGGATGCTATGTTATGTTGAATATAGCTTCCTTAAGTCTGTTTGCAGAAAATTAATGCTGTCCTTTTATTCCTTTGAGTTGCTCAAGTCATATGTTTAGTTTTTTTACAGTGATAATTTTGTTTTGGTGGTTTCACTCATCAGTTGACTTTAATTCAACTTTTTATTTCTGGTGTATTCATCATAGAGGTTACGTCTCTAGATTTGTATCTGTAATTTCCATACTTGACTCTTTCTAATGCCAATCTCATTTTGTAATGGACTTATTGGACTTTTCCTGCTGGACTTGTAATGGACTTGATAAAGTGTATTTAGTACCATGTTTATTTTAATGATTATCAGATACTGTTTTTCTTGTGTGCTGGGAATTCTGTAATGAGCTTTATCATTTTGCATATTTGTGCTGTTAGTCATACAAAGTCAAGGTCTTTCAGGTATTTTTGTTTACAGTGATAACATTTTAGATGTCTAGAGGTCAATTATATCTCAGTCTTGATATTTTAGGCCTTCTGGCCATAGACAATGTTTAGGAGAGCTGTGACTTTTCTTTTTCTATTTGTTCATCATACTAAAATAGGTGTGATGCTTGATGACCTGTAATCCACCTTTTGACATATTTTTTATTTGGAGTGGTTTTAGAAACTGTGTTTTCTTATATAATCATGCTGGATCATTAATTTACTGAAATCTTGGATGTTTACACCTCAGTGACCATTTTGGATAAAAATATGTTATATAATCCTTTAGGTCAGTGGTTCCCAATCATTGGTCCATGAACCAGAATCAGTTTGCAGATGTGTTTATGGTGATCCACAGAAAGATCTAGTGAGGAATAAAAAAAGAGAAAAAATAAAATGTATAATAATAGTTGATAAAAATTATGTATTTTTCTTTCTGGATAAATATTTATAATATTAAAATTGTAAATCCTTTCGAACTTGAGCTTACAACCCTGTGTGTGTATATATCTACAGTCTGTGTTCTTTATATAGGTCAAATATTCATAATGGTCCATAAGTTTTTTTTATGAAGATATGACTTGTTTAGAGAATGAAAAAGGTTGGAAACCACTGCTTTGGGTGATGGTTTATAGTAAAGATGAAAAAAATAGACGTTCTCATGAATGCTTGTTTGTAGTTAAAAACTAAATTATAGTATTAACGTTTATGTGTGCTAGCCTTTGATAAATACTTATGAGTACATCTTAGAGGAGCTTTCATCACTGGCCAAAACACATTCTCTCCTCCCTCCAATTGTGGAGTTCCATTGTAGCACATTGTCAGTGTGCAGACCAGATAGCATTGCACCGTTTCCAATTCCAAACCACAGGAAGGCAACCAGTCAGCAGCAAAAAAATTTACTTTATATCTTATTATGATTGTGTTTCTTTTGTTTTTATAATTATTTTATTTTTAACATCAAGTACCTAGTATAAATGAGATTATTATAATATTATTCTGAGACAGTCTTACGTTCTCTCACACAAAGTTATCTTGATCGGCATTGCTGAAAATATTTTCACACTCAGCACACCAGTCTATATACCCCACTAATTTTGTGCCACTATTGAACATATACATAGCATATGACTTCTCCCCACCAATAGTATTGTGCCACCTATATTGTTGCAGCTAGCTCTCTCTTCTATTCTCATTCAATCCCCACTTTCTCGATTGGCACAGTATTCGTTAGACGTGTGTTTTTTTTGCATGTGGTTCACGTTTATGATTGTGCTTCTTTGCCATTTCAAATCTTTTTTTTTTTTCAACAATTATATTTTACTGTGTTTGCATTCAGTTGTTTCAACAATTGTTTTTACATTTGTTTCTTGTTACTGAATTATAACAGATCTTAGTATGAATTTGTGATTCAACGTATCGACTACGGATATTCATGTTACAGGAATCGGTATGACTTTATCTGCAGAGAAGGTACAGGCCTTAATTCACAGAGAGACAGATTAATATGGTCAGCCAACGATTTCTTCTTCTTTTCAATTTGATAATGTTTCTGAGGAAGAATATAATCAAGAAGAAGAATATTTGGAATATCTTTTTCCTGCACCTTCTTATTTTGGTCAGTCACATTCTACACCTCTTCAGGAGTTTTTCCCTTCCATTTTTTTTACAGCTACTTAATCAGGCATCTGTCAGTGCATATTCTGGTTTTGCTGTATGTTCGAGATGTGGGTGATTCCACTAGTTTTCTTTTTCTTGCTCCTATTGATGTTCTGCCATGTTTTTCACTTTGGTGGAGGTTTGTGCTTCTTATCCTTTCTTCATATTACTTCCAGTTCTCCTAGTGGTTCTGTGGTATGTTTTTCGACTTGTACACTTCACTTATGGTTGATATACCTGTGATAGGCTTGGTTCGGATGCCCTTTGTGTAGCTTTGCCCTTATGTACACGGGGGGGAATTAAGTATTTCATGTCATCACTACTTGGACTTTGGTAAGTTAGATATTTATGTGTCCTTTGTTATCTAAGTTGATTTAGATGAAATGTATGTTAGATATTGATTATTACTTTATTTTCTCAGTAATTTTTGTAAATTTGTATGTTTGTGTTATCATCACATACTTTGTGGACTAGGTAAATGTAGATGGTTTGTCAGTTTGATATTCTGAAGTATTTTGTTAACTAGGTATGTTCAGATAGTTTGTACATTATATATCATTTTTACTAGCAACATCTAATTCATTGTTCAATCTTTGCTATATCACTTACATGTTGATTTCTTTCCCATTCATATGGCTGAGCTTTGCTTCAGGTCCTTTTCCTCCATTCTTGATACTAGACCAAATTTTCTTATCACAATCTACAATTTGGGGTTCATCTTCACAGTACCCACATCTATGGTAGTTATTTAATGCTTAAATTCAAGTATTCTAGTTCAGGGCCCTACCGTTTGGACTAACCTGGCTTGGTTTTTAGACAGGGACCAGGCTACGGCAGGATTGCTGCTTCCTCCGCCTCATCTAGATTTAAATCTGTTCATGGACTCATCTTTAGAGAGTTGGGTTGCTTACCTTGACTCCCAGGAGATTTCTAGTCTCTGGTTGATCTGGGAGTGTTCTCTCCCTATCACCATTCTCAAGCTTGTGATAGTTCATTGAGATTTGTCCCACTTCCATCCTCTCCTGCAGGGGATACTGATTATTATACACACCAACAATTCCACGTTGGTCACTTATGTAACCAAGCAATGGTGTACCAATTCCAGGTCTCTGTGCTTTCAGATCCTGGATCTCCTTTTCTGGGCCCACAGTTACCACCTTTTGGTCTTAGCTTGCCATGTTTCTGGCATTCTGTATCTTGTTGTGTATCAATTATCTCATCTCAACAAGATTCTCCCCACAGAGTGGTCCCTAGATCTACACCTCATATACATGCCTTTGCCACCCACTGATATACCAAACTTCCTTCTTTTTGGTCTCCCATTCCACACTTGCTAACTCTGGAGGTGGAAGTGTTCAGTCAAGATCGGAGGGGTCTTCACATCTATGCTTACCCTTCTATTCGACTCCTCTCCATAGTTCTATCCCTAATCCAATCCACTCCATGTTTAGTCCTACTGATGGTTCCATATTAGCTGGCACAACTATGGTTCCCACTTGTACAACCTCCTCTACTCCATCAACCTCGATTGGACACTGTTCATCCAGACATCACCACACTCTGTCTTCACGCATGGCTTATGTCAGGTCCATTGCTTCAGCCCAGGGACTTACTTCATGTGTTGCCTTTTTCCCATTCCATCAGACCTTCGTACATGTCCATTTATCAAAGCCTTTGGTCTCTTCAGTGTCGTTATCATCCTTCCCACCCTTCTGTTCCATATTTCTCCTGGTTGTTTAACAAAGGCTTGTCCACTTTGACCATGTCTAGCTAGTAGGCAATCTTGTCAAACATCTTCCATCTCTCTCTCAAGACCTATTTCCTTTTCCTCCTTGCCTGCAGATGTCGTTGATCAGATATTTATGCCATTAATGTTACCAGCATCCTCTACCATTCCTCTTTTGTTATCCTATATCCCGACTGGTCCTTCCTCCCTAGGACCTATGCTGCACAGGAAGGCTGTTTGGCTTGCACACCCATTTCCTTTACTCCCATACAAATCCTGATTAGCTTCTTTGTCCAGTTTGCTTCTTACGGTGTTATATGGCATGTGCTGCCTCCTTTTGGAGTTCATGTTCCCAACTTTTTATTGCTTGGATCCCTTCCATTTTCCATGCTCTATCTCCTGTCATGCTGACTGGTTGGGTTAATCAACGTTTTAGGCTGGCATATTCAGACTTTACCATGCAAGGTTGCCATATCCACAGTGTTTTTTTCTCATCAAATTTGTCATCTCAACATGTCTTTGGCTGCTCACCTTCACTGTCCATTGGAGAAAATCATTCAGGCCAGAAGGTCAACTACTTCCAATACCTTTGTTGCTCATTATCTGCACGATCTGGCTGTATCTTCCTCAGATGAATATTGTCTCCTTCTCATGGCAATTCTACACATGTCCATTCGCCTTTGACTGGGGTAAGTCTTATCACAGACCCTTTTGTTTTACCACTGATAATGAGATTCCACTCTGTGGCTGATGGTTCATTCAATGGTGGACTTCATGAGTAAAGCAGAAGGGGATTTCTACCCATCCCTGCCAACCCTTTGATTTAATAAATTAGGTTCAGCCTGCTTTTCAAAATAGTGACTCATGGACACCCATTGCACTTTCTCTGGGGTGATGTTCCTCTGGACTTCCCACTGCCCTTTTTTCTTCCAGTGGAACAATGGAGTCCTTACCACTTTCAAGTTGCTGAGGTAGTGGAACATGGGGGCTTCTTCCTGAGTGCATTATTGAATTTTAATTTACCATACATGCTTATGATTTACACTCATTGAGAAGAAGGCAAAGCTGGTTTCCCTCCTTCCATTTTCCCTGAATGCTTTTTCCCACATGGACAATTGTCAGTTGGAAGAGGACCAACCTATGCAGGATCCTCCTTGTAATACCAGGTTCAGGATGACATCTCTTCCCTGCACTTATGTTTGGGTGAGTTACAATTTCTGCTTGTAATACTGGTTACAGATATTGCCTTGTTCTCACTGTTGAGTTGAAGCATTGCCCCGACCCTGTATTGCCGGGTTTGGTTTGTTGTACTTCTTGCTCTTACGGTGGTTTTGGGAGTTTGTCCAGTTTTGGCCGACTGCTAACTTCCTCTTTCAAAAAGGTACCTTACTTCTGCTCACATACACAGCTATTCTTGTTCAGTGCTGCCCTCTATTTCCAAAATGTTTTTTTCACATCACATGCCTTTTATTCCTATGTACAGTCTTGGTTCACTTGATTTAACTGATTCACACGTGTAAATTATCATGTGACAAACCTCCACCAATAGACATGCCTCACACACACGTGACTTCCTGTATGCTATTCTACCAATTACTTCTCGTTTAGCAGTGCTTGTGTTAAGCCATTTACTTTGGTGCTCTCTCAAATCAAATATGAATTTTTAAAGCATTTATCTCTAGTTTACAACCTATCATTTCAATTTAATATTTAATAGTGGTATTACTTCTTTCAAAACCTAGTTATGAAAATTAATTAATTTTATGTGTTTGTGTTTCTTTACCAACACAGTTGTGTTTGGTTTACATTATGAATTTGGAAATAAATGTTACCACATTGAAGGTTGTACCTTCTACCACTACATTTACTCAGGCTTCAGGTGGGGGTAACTCGACTTTTGAATCATTGGCAATTATTTGCCGAGAGATTGATTGTAATTTGAATTAGCCTTATTCTCCTGATGTTGCCCAACTTCCTCCTGAACAAGCCAAACCTGTTCAGGTTGATGATGGTTTTGAACAGCCTTTTTCCTCCTCTTGAATATGCCTATCTTCCCCAGTTACTCTTGTTGGTTCTGTTAGGCCTATAACGGCTTTTTTGGACATGATTTCACAGGTATGTTCTGTTTTATCCCTTTCCCCAATTTCCTTTAATCCTCTACCTTCCTTGTTACATAATACTCTTTCCTTTGAGTAATTTGTATATCCTCTTTCTCCTGATATCTCAGTTATGTGATGGCATGAGCATGCCTCACCCTCCTCAGGCTGTACACCAGTTTGCTTTGGCCAACCATCAGGCTGATTTTCTGTTCCTGGATTTGCAACACTTGGAATCCATTTTACCCATTTGAGGGATGGATCATGATTGTCCTGATCTTTTTTCCCATGCCCAATTTTCTCTCCTTTGTCTTACCCTCACATCTGTCTTATGGTATTTGTCTACCATCCACCTTCTTTCTGAGGTGATCCACCATGACTCTGTGGGTTTCTTGGGGGATATGTTTGCCCTAATTATCTCCTTGTTGGCACATTTGTTGACTTTGGCTCTTTTTTTACATACATGGTTCCTCTGTTGTTGGGATCTTTTGGGGAGAGATGCAGTTTTGTCCCACATTTGTTTACCATCTCCATATTTTTGGGACTTAGGTTGGTTTTTCGAGATCGTATTGAGACTTTGGAATCTCAGGTGGAATCTGGTTAATCATTTATCTCGCCCTCAGCGTCAATAGTCCCCTATATCTGTTCCACATCCTACTCCTTCCCAACCCTTAACTGTTCCTTCCAGGGGATCTCTTTCTTATCATATTCTTTGAGTGTTACGTTGCCTGTGGGTTCCGGTCCAGTGGGAACTCATTTATCTCAGCTTTTTCCTCTGTGGCAGAATTTTACCAGGGATCTATGGGCCCTTCGGGTTTTATCAGAAGGCTTGTCATCAATTTCCTTTTCTGTTTTCCCTCCTCTGTAGTCTCAGATATCCATTTCCTTTCCATTCCTTCAATATCCTCCCAAATGTCAGCTTCTGTATGAGGCAGTACAAGATCATCTCTCACAACAAGCCATCAAACCTGTGGTTCACCCTTCTCCAGGGTTTTATTCCAGGCTGTTTGTCCACTTTTGGGTTTTTCTTTAGGTATTGTAAAATGTCATGCTTGTTTTCCATTAAGTTTTATTTGTTGATTTATTTTAATGTTGTCTTCTTAGTCTGATAGATTCCTTCTTACAATGCATATTGCTGTCTCAGCAGAGACTTTTTTCAACTGTAGACAATTTGGGGAATTTCTTTGTACTTGTACACTTTTACTGTGAATAAGGAATTGTTAGGTAAGTTTGTGGGGATTTTTGCCATTTGACAGTATTTCTAGAGGCTAAGCTCTGAGAGTTTCATCTGGTAATGCTGTTCTCTGTCTCCTTCACCTTATTTTTTGTCTTTTGGTTTCTCTCTCTCAGAGTCACTTTTTGAAATAACTTTTGAATGAAGTTATTCCAGCCACACATTTACCAGATTGTTGGTAGTCACAGAGTGGATATGGCTCAACCCAACTTGAAGATAAGATAGTGTCATTACCTTGCAGCAATGAAAAGTATTTTCACTACTTCCACTCTGCTCTTCTTTCTCTAGCCTTCTGGTTGAATTTTTTAACCATATTGACTTTTTACCATTTTTGTGTGCTGTTGTCTATGTAATTTATGATTCTTGAGCCTGTATACTGAGGAAATTTTAGCATATAAAGTCTGTAATGCAATTTTGCTATTTTACAAGTAGAATCAACTTTGAAAAACATTTACTTGTGGTTGCTCTCCACACCAAATATGTGTAGAAAAACATATGGTAAGCAGCATGTGGTTTATTGAACCTCCTATCACATGTGAACACATGTTATTAAGAGAAGACCTTATAATGCTTTACATCTCATTTTTTCTGAATGAGACTTTCTTATCAGGAAGGTGTAGATTGTGCAATACAGGGAATATCAAAAGGGATCAAAAAGTCAGGAGGATTTGTGACCCTTCATTTCTTCTTTTTTACTCGGAACTTGCACATACACACAAATCATGCTGCTTATTGGCATATTTTAACGTAATCCTGGTAAGTCACTTTCTGTTATTTATCTGGTGATAGTTATCTAATTCATTATATTTGGTGATAGATTAGATCAGTTATTATTTTATAGATAAAAATTAAACATTTTATTGTCTACCATCAATCTGTGATGTTCTTTTTAGAAGATATTTTCTGTAGTATGAGAAAAAAATCAAAATATCAGCATGTTGTACATGTGGGTATTCAGGTCTGGAAAATTCTATAATTGTTATTGGGAAAGTCATTTCAAAAAGTTTTGAAAGAATGTGGTCACCTTGCTGTAGATGAAGTCACAAACTGATTGCAGTAGATAAAGTCTAACATTTAGCTGAAGCAGTTTGCGTATTCCTCGTCTGGAAGCACATTTTAAGTATCTCTTTGAATTTAATTTTATGAAAAAAGGCTCTTTCTTTTTCCATTAGGGAAACCTGGTTCACATTAGTGCTACAGATACAAGATTACTGGAAACAGCAGAATTAATGGAGATAAAGAAAGCTGACAAGAATGGCTTACTTAGAGAATTTACTCTTCAAGATATGGACTTGTTTTTACATAAAGGTAATCCACTTTATACTGTAGATGAGAATTTATATATCTTCATAATTGGTCTGAATTTCATATTATTGCAAAAAGAAAAAATATAGTAAGTCTAGATTTCTAAATAGCTGTTTGTTTATTAGAGTGCTTGAGTTTAGAAACAAATAATATAATGCAACAAGAGCATCTAACAGATATAGTTTACAGTCTTGCTTGCATCAGGAAAAGAATACTGGAATATCTGTATAATGGCTTAATCTCCAAAATGTTTAATTTTCTCAAAACAGTTTTATGGTAAAGTCATTTTTTGCCAGAGTTTAATACTGTGTTGTTAATGGTTTTCTAAAGAATATTCATCAAACTTTGGTAAAATTAGTTGTTTCATTAAGGTGGTTCACTTCTTGTAATATAAATTGTGTCTGCTAATTATTCACTTGCAAAAGGTGCAGATGAAGAATGTGTTTTACACATTTTTTTCAGTGATTTTTGCTGTACTTTGTTTGTACTTTTAATACCCTTTACTCCCTATTTTTCACAGACTAAATGCTAGCCCTAGTTTGAGTAATTGCTTAATAAAAAAAATTTTAAAAACAAAATATATATGATTACATAAGCAATTCAATTTTGCTCTCTTTTGGGTTTGTAATGTTTAAAAACCATAAGTTCTCAAACACTTTCTCCATCTAAAAGTTCAAAAACACAGTCAACTGTCATTGATCTATCTGATGATTTAGCAGGTGTTTAAAAATTGAGCTATGTGTAATGTTCCGTCTTTTACAGAAGGAATGTCTAGATATTAAAATAGGATTTTGATAAACTACTACTTGTTAGTAATGATTTTTAACTCATTCTCCTAGTAATGATGGGATTTATGTCTGGCATTTAAATCACCTCTTCTCTGGACCTAATTACTTTGATTATTTAGAATATCTGCCCTTGCATTGCATTAATCACATTTAGAATGATGCTTTTATCACAAAGAGATCAAAATGTTTCTTAAGCTGTAACTAAGACTTCATGGTTATTAAAAATTCGTCAATTACATGTTTTGTAAAGCTTTATGGTGCCTTTTTTTTGGTTCAAATTCATGGTCTTTATGCTTTTTTTTTTTTCTTAGTTTCAAGTTTTTGTTACTGATGATTATTAAGATTTGTTTTATTGAAGGGATCAAAGTAACATGCTTGCAAGATCTGCAAAAAGACATTTTATACTTGAGGCTGATGTCTTCTTTTGCATCACTTGAGTGAATAAGAATTTTTCTGCTCAGAAAGGACAGTAATGTATCTTTTCCCACCAAAATTAATTTCTGTCTTACATCTAGGTTCTCTTCTTGTCTAATTAATACTTTCAAAATCATACACATGTTTGTATTTAAGTAGGTAATTAATCTAATCAAAAACACCTTAGATATGAAAAAAATGATTGAATGTGCAACTTAAAGGAATGAAATCAAAATTGGCAGCCAAACTGGTAGCTACACTTATAGCATTGATAAAAAAATGTTCAGCAAATATTCCTTCATTAGTTAGTCAGGCTACATGTTTTGTTCAACTTTGAGCATGATGGTGTATAAAACAAAACACATGGCCTAGCTAATTAATGAATGAACATTTGCTGTAAAATTCTTGTCAATGCTATAAGTGTAGCTATCAATTTGGCCACCAATTTTGGTTTCATTCCTTTAAGCTGCACGCTCAGTTCTTTTCTTGGCCACACCTTTTTTTTCACACCTAAGGTGTTTTTGATTAGATATCATGACTTTTTGTCAATACACACCAAGAAACCATAGCAAGTAAGAAAGTGACCCTCGGTAGTAACCAACATTAGCTTTAGGATTGCAACCCTATTATTTGGAACAGACCTATACTTTACAGAACCAACCAGATTCTTTAAAATATATGTTGGTAGTTTTCCTCTCTAAAACTGTTAATAACTTCCTTCATAGTAATGCCATGGAAACTAGATTAACAGTTTCTTGTCATCATCCATATGCCCTCGGTACAGCCATATCAACCATCATTATTTATGCTAATTGCTCTTTAATTACGAGAATTTCATAAAATTTAGTAAATTTGAGCTTAAAAGTTGGCAATAAATAATAGCCATCCACCCATATGATTCTTTTGAAAACTTGAGCTAGAAACTGCTAATCAAGTTTACTTGGCCTAAACAATAATTGTGTATCTACACACTATACTTTTGCTGCTGTAAATCAACCATCTTTAATCCAAATGACAAAAAACTAAAAATGGTCCACCTTTACTTTTAGGTGAAGCTATAGTAAAAATTTTAGGACTGATAGCTCATGTGACCTTTTGCAGGGGGGTGTGCAAAAATTTGGTCAAAATTTAGCAGTTTTTGTTGAATAACTTTGCACATGTCTTATATTTAGACCCAATTTGAAACCAAATTGTACCAGATTTGAAAAAAATTTATGTGTCTTGATATACCAAAACTATTAAGCCCTTTTTTTTATATGCAACTAAAGTAGTTTGCTTTTGTTAAAGTTATTCATTATCCAAGAAATATATGTTAGCCACACTTAGGATGAATTTACATCAAATAAAGATCAGTTTCTTATGAACCACCTTTTCAATTTTCATACATTATTTCTTTAATTACTTAAAGGAGTACATTGTGCAAATGCATAATAAGAAATAGTAATAACACATCAGAATTATAATAAAAATGTTTAAAGAATTAACAAAATAAAAGAAACCCTTTAAGGACAGAGTAAAATTGAACTTGTTTATCTCTTTGTTTGTTGTAGCAGGATACATTCTGTATAATTTACTCTTGTAAAGTGAATGACAAGTTATCTCTTGGATATATCTTTTTACAGGTATGAATTCCAGTGATTTGCTAACCACTTCAGAGAAACAGCGAATTGTCTTTCATGAACTAGAAAATATACGATCTGTGGATAAACAATTTTTATTTGGTTATCCTGGAGTTAAGTTATACCCAGGCCAATCCATTGGTAGGTGCAGCTACTGTTGAAGCTGTTTTCAAGTAATCCAAACCTCTGATTCCCAAAGAAGTATGACATTTAATTAAATGTTTTAGGCATATGTGATGTAGAAATGATATATTCTCTTATTTATGAGTATTATGTATGATGGCTTTAATTAATAGAAGTGGTTGTAATAGATATTTGCAAAGCTCTGTTTCAACTATTAAGAATGAAAAACAGTTGTAAGTAATTAAAAAGCCTCTTATTTCAACTATCAAATATAAAGAAACATAACTGGATTATAGAAAAGTCATTAATTCAACTGGTGTGATCTGAATTTATTTCCTTTGAATTAGACAAAGTACTTTACAGTTTGCCAAAAATATGATGTAATTTTCTTTTGTTATAAACATATTTGTAAAAAAGTCGTTTTTAAAGGTTGGATTTTCAAAAGAAATAAGAAAAAAAAGTCAATATACTAAAATATGTCAATATTATAGAAGTTTAATTTCAGATTATGGTTACAAATGTGTACTACAACAACTTCCAGGTGTTCATAACTTTCCAGGCTTGAAGAGCAATATGTAAAAAAAAATGTATGTGAGTGTGAAATGATGCATCATTATAAAAATAAGAATATTTCTCTCATACTTATAACTACTCAGCCACATACATTTTCTTTATTGCTTTCCTACAAGCTACAAACAGAATGAAAAGATTCTGTAATGAGAAATCAGTACTTTTTTATGGTTTTATTCAATTTTTAAAACCTATTATCTAATTGTTTTTAGGCTTAATATGTTTTACTGTATACAGACAATAAGATTTGTGCATACTATATTTTATGTTGTTTTAAAGCATGAACTCTAATAAATTAACAAAGAAATAACATTTATGAAAATAGCCATGTATGTGAAACTGAATCTTCACCCTGAATAGGTCTGTCAAACAAAATGTAACATCAAAGAGTCGTGAAACTAACAAAAGAATAAACAGTAAAAACATGAGTTAAAAAATGCCAACTAAATCAATTATTTAAGATGTTTAATGTATACATTTATGCAGGAGTAAGAATATCACAACCATATTATTTGCGAATACTTGAATGTAGAACAAATTAAGAAAAGTCTTTATGTGTAATAGAAAGTTTTGAAAAATTGGCAAAGAGGGAGGCTGTGATCATCGTTTTTTTGTTTGTTTCCTCTAATACAAATATGATTTAATTTCAAATATTGTGTAGAACTTTAGTGAAAAACAATATTCAGTTTAGTGCGCCTTAAAGTAAATTATTCAATCTCTTTACTACTATTTCCTAAAAAACTCATACAACATATGAGTAGTTTAGATATTATTTTAGAGTAGTATAGATATTAATTATACAAGAGAGAGAGCAGTTTTTATGTTATGAATCATGTGGAAGAGAGCAGTTTAGATAATATTAATTATGCAGAAGAAAGCAGTTTGGATATTATTAATTATGCAAGAAAGAGTAGTTTGGATAATATAAATTGTGTAGAAGAGAGTAGTTTGAATAATATTACAGTGCTTCAGTTAATTTTTACCATGCTCAGTATAGTACTAATCAAATTCATCTGTCAGCAGTTCAGTATCATGAACAAGTGTGTGTGTATGTTGGTTTATGTAGCAATTGAATCATTTATAAGAGTTTGATTGTGTCAGTATTATCATATTATTAATTTGGCTTCAAGAAAGTAATACAAAAACACATACACACCATTTATGTATTTATTTTTAATTTTCTTAATTCTTCTGTTCTTAGCACTGTCCCAGATATTAATTACAGGACTGGGATCATGCAATGCAATTTTTGGGCATAACATTACAATTCTCATTAAACAGTATCTTTTCAGTCATCATAAAGCATCTGAATTTTGTCTTGAGCCTATTATGTATAGAAAAGGCTCTTTCACAGTCAGTGCTTGTTACACAAAACATAAAAATATTTGACACAATTTTGATATGTTATGAAATTGGTTATCTTACAGTTTAATAATCCTTTTATACAAATGTTCAATTTTTGAGTTTTTATATGTGCCTTTCAATTTGCCTTTAAACTTAGGCCATTCATTTTGCACCAAATCATTTTTGTAAAGTATGAGCATCACTTCAGTTTTTTCCCAGTATCATTTGAAATTTTGGTGACTTTATTGGTTCCATAAAAATCTGCAACATCTGTAACAGCTCCATCTGCTAGATCTTCATCAAAAATAGTTGGCTTAAGTAAGTTTCCAATACGATATCTTACCTTTTGCTGGTGTAGTGTGTTGTAGATCCCACTCTGTGGCAAGTGATGCCTGGCCAGGTATACTTTTTTTCTTTCGAAATCCACACTGTCCATCCTGTGGCCATGCTCAATATCAGTTATGTTGTAGCCCTACCTACCACATATCTGATGTACAATTCCAGATGCCACCAGGTGTTGGTTGTATGTCTCCATTTGATTGTTATCTGTGACTAAAATATTACCTCACAGGTTTGGGTTATACACACTGTAGAAATGAGGTGTTCTGTAAGATTGCCAGAAGTTCTCTCTAGTGCTTTTTTGCTTCATAAATATGTTTGTCCCGGACCGTACACCCATGGACTAACTTAAGTAAAGCAGACAGATTGATGCTCATTTCTGATGCTCGGTGGCATTGAGATTCTGCCTACTGCAGACCTGATGTACAATTTCAGATGCCACCAGGTTTTGGTTGATTGACTCTGTGAACGTGGTAGCTCTGCTTTTCCAAATAAGGTATTACAGTTACCTGTTGCACTGTTTCCGGTGGTGCAGTACTCCAGGACCCTCCAATGCATTTTTATCCCCCCTTTCTTTTAGTGGAGTATGGAAGTCCTTACCACTTATCAGTTCCTTGCCACTGGGGTGGTGGACCATGGAGGCCTGTCCTCCTGAGTGATGACTCATACCATTAAGTTGAGAGTAGGTTGATGGAATTTTAAAGGTGTAACTGGCATATCACACTTTCTACCGCAGACCTGACGTACAATTCCAGATGCTGCCAGGTTTTAGTTATAGCACTATGCCATATTCCTGTCTACATATCAGACCAATTGTTTTTCCTACTGTGACATTCCTACCATCCTCTGTCTCATTTTGGTTAGAGATGGTCTGGTCATGATTTGTATCATGTGTGGAGGGCATGACGCACTTCCTACTGCGGACCTGATGTACAATTCCAGATGTCACCAGGTTTTGGTTGAATTACTCCACCATGTCATTAATATATATATATATATATATATATTATTGCAGCTTGCCCCTCAGGCTTAGATGTTCCTCCTCCCTGCCATCTTCTGGATGTACATTCTCGGTGGGTCCGGTGTTGGTTCAAGACGGTCCACCTAAGTAAGTCCTCATATGTGTGCTGGCTGGTATCCATCTTCCTACCTCAGACTGTATGACAAATACCCATTGCCGCAAGGTTTTTGGACTGGAGATGCAGCCCAGGTTTGTGGTCCCTCTTTCTACCATCTGCTGGATTTAGTTCCAAACACATCTGATGTTGGTTGTAGCTGAACACAGCACATGTTTTCCCACTTGTATATGGTTGGTATCCTCTTCCTACCATGGACTGGAAGTTCCATACCCATTGCCATCAGGTTTTGGACTGGACATGTCATCCTGGCTTTCTACCTTCCTACCATCTGCTGGATGTCAGTTCTCAGTGGATCTGCTGTTGATTGTGTTGGAAATGCATGCAAGTGGAGACAGAGTTTGGTACAGAAGCTCATCTTCCCTACCAATTTCCATTTTGAAATGAAGAGGTGATCCTCTACCTACCGTGGATCTGATGTACCATTCCAGATTCTGCTTCATGTTGGATGAAGTCGAACTAGTCACTCGACACCCAGGAGTCCCATTCATCGGTTATACATATTCTGCCTTTTATGTTTGCGACACAGTCATAAAAGAGCGAAGAGTATACCTGGATCAAATGTGGTGCAGTCTCAATTGAGGTGTGATGATTCCTCTTTTGTTTCTACACCTCCTGGTCACTCTTTGGGCACTTCCTAAAAGGGGATCTTTTTTTTTATTGTCCCTCCACCAGTTTAATGTGGGATTCGAGCTGTTTTGTGAGTAGAGGTAGGATATCATATCCAAAGTTAGCATTTTCCTGCATTGAAAATGTATTTCCGATAGATACTTGCCTCTTCTCATATTTCCCACTCAGCCTCCCACTCAGAACAATTTTCATTCAGTGCCTAATATCATAAGCCTAGAGAACAAATGCAAAATATGATGTATATTTAAGAAATACTTAACCTTTCAATTATGCATTTTAAAACATAAATAATACATAATTAACTAAAATATAATAGTTAGACCTAAATACAATTTAAATTGTTTCTCTACCTACAGCCATAAGTGGTATAGTCAATCAAGCAGCCAACAATACTATAGTCAGTTACATGTATCCCATGACAACAACTGTGCATCAATTTAAAAATAACTGTTGTTAGATTATAGTGTAAAATGATGTCTTTGTAATAAGTATACACATCTGTATGTAACATCTACATGTAGGCTATAAAGCTTAAACAAATCTCTTGAAGGTGGTCATGGCACTTGACAGAGGTTTAAAAAATTTACTTGTTTTCATTCCTTCAGAGAATTTTGAAATGTACGAGTCAAAAGGTTATGTAAGCATCTTACAGCCTAGACATACCTCTACTCAACTACCGTTGTATTAGTGAAGATACAGAGAGCTAGGGTAGAGAATTTTCATAACTCATTGGTCACATAACAATACATCTGAAGTTTTAAGTAGTTTTTTAAAGATTTACTTTGAAATAAAGGACTTAAAAAGTTAGATAAGATAAAACTTCGAATCAAAACATACTTTATACTATTAATTTTATTTACATACATTGATAGTAAAGGTGTTTAATTCAATTTTGAATGTAACACAGTGACTTGCACAGAAAAGCATTTAAAGGGCCACCTGTTGTGAAAGGTTTAATGCATCACAACAATGATGTAAAAACTTGCATCTTGTATATCAACAAAATGAATAATTTGTACTGATACAATTTTAATTCTCAAGTATTTTTTAATACATGAGGAATACAAATGCATGGAGCTAAGTATAGCTTGCATAGACAATATGGAACAAAACAGCAGTAAACTTATTGATAAACATTTTAACATTAAAAAAGACAACTCTGATTGTCAGTCATATTTCATTTCTGTCAGTGAAATTTGTAATGCATAATAAAAGAATAATCAATGAATATTTACATTACAAAACAACCCGGTTTTACAATAATAATTTACATGATACTAATTTAATATGTAATTGTATACAAATAATAATAATCTCCATTTCCGAACCAATTATTTTTTTATTATTATTTCAGTTCAAGTTTGTCAAAATAATGGAATTATAATGCAAGTGTTTCCACTTCATGATGAAGAAGATATCAGAAAACTAGAAGCCTCTTGGTACAGATCATTTTTCTCCTCTCAACCAATTGGTAAGTTCTTGTTACATTGTAGAACTGCAAGTTGCTCTGAAAGATTGATATGAACACAAACTTCTTAAATTAATAAAGGAATAATTTGACATAATTATTCAATATGTCTTGCTATAATCTTAGTCAGTACATGTATACTCTATATGCTAAAACAATTTTCGCATACCACAAGCCTCACAATCAACTGGTTCAAATGTGTCTTGCATGTAAATCATCATGTGACAACCCTCCACCAATAAGAACAAGACACACTCTCTTGATTCATGTGACTCTCTCTATTTAATTCTACTGAACAATCACTTCTCATTTGGCAGTACTCGTATCAAGAAATTTTTGTAGTGGTCTTCAATTTTGTTCAACTTTTTGTTTTTCTTTTTTTTGTTATTATTCTGAATGTTAATGACTTTTCAGATAACTTATTTTCCCAGTTTTTCATTTTTTTCACTTCATCTAACAATTGTGTTTGATTTTCATTTTTACACAATGAATTCTAAAGTTCGGGTTACCACTTTGGAGATAATACTTTCTACTAGCACTCTGACACAGGCTACTGGTGGGGGTGACTCGTCTTTGGACTTATCAGCTATCATCCTCTGTGAGATTGATCGTTATGTGAGTCAATCAGCTTGTCCTGATCTTGCCCATATTCTACCTGAACATGCTAAACCTGTTTCGGTTGATGAGGATTTTGTCTGCCTTTTTCCTCCACCTGATTTTGATATGTCTTCCTATGCCCCTAATGCAGAATCAGCTAGGCCTGATATGGTTTTTTAGACATAATTTCTCAGGTATTTCTATTTTATCCATTTCCCTGATTTTGTATGATCCCCGACCTTCTTTGTTACATGATACCTCCTCCTGGTTTTCCTCCCTCCCCTGGATATTAGGGTTCCTGCTGAGCATTTTGCTTCTCAGATAGTTGAGAGTGCTAGCATGTCTCACCCTCCATGGGCCTTGGATCAGTTTGCCTTGGCCTACCATCAGCTGAATGTCTGTTTCTCGATTATCAACAGTTAGAATCGATTTTGACTATTAGTT